CGAGGGGGCGTGGACCGACTTCGGGTGAGTGGTTTCGACCCCTTGGCCGACTGAGCCCTCAACTGTTTTCCGGTTAGCCTAGAAAGTGGGGTGTCCCCAATCCCCGAACAGGTTTTGCAGGTCATCCACTGACTCAGTCCCCAGCCCGTTTCGAGTCCTTTTTCTGTGCGTTTCTCGATCGATCTGGAGTTTGGATGAAGCGCCATTGGGCTCCAGCAGTGCAATGATGTGCGAGGAGTCTGGTGACCTGGTGTTGTGAATCGGATGATATCGCCTGATTCTTCCAAGTGACCGAACTTGCTTCCCTGGTTTGAGGTCACGAACAGGCCGGTAATGTCACTTAGAGACTCCAAAGAGGCCACTTGGAAGAAGCTGGTGCATGATGTGTATCTTGTGAATCCATGTGAAGTTTAATATATACCATGCAGCACCAGTCAGACTTCACAGGTCTCCGAAATGGAGGGTTGGGAAGGGCTCCTGTCAGGCTTCAATTGGTGACCTGTTGCACGAGTCTCGGTGCGACAGTGCTCCAAGGTGAGTTGGTCGACTTAAGCATGGCATCGGACGAGTCGGAGACGGAGAACACCACTGAGCTGTCGGGGGAGACGGAGCTCTCGTTCCATCCGAGTGGCGTGGCTTTGTTTAGGGCGTGTTCCTTGGTTTTCTCTACGGGTTGAGGGCTGCTGGCATGAGGAATATGTTGTATGTTTACCGGTTCCGAACAAGCAAATTCAAGGAAGTCTTTGGAAGCTTAAGCTCGACCCGTCACTGTACAGATGCTTGACATGTCTTGGCGCCCTGTTCATCATCGTGCTGAGTAGTTTGGGAGCCATCCTCCTTGGCGCCAGGGGTGATGTGGGTGAAATATCATATTATTTCAGATATTATGCAGACATGGAATTTTGCATCCTGATGGCTTGTACAGCCGTAGCGGCTTGTGGAGCTATGTGGGTATGGTGCCATGCCTCAACGCCACACCTCCTTCAGGCTTCAGGCTTTCTGGTTCTCAACTGGATCGAGGGGTTAGCCTTCATCAGCTGGATCCTTGCTCTTTATAATCATGTAAACACCACGACAAGCATCCTTGTGGCTTGTCTCAGACTTTTCTTGCTGATCTGTGAAATCGTGAGTCTTCAGATCTTGATCCAGAACCGTCTCCAAAGCATTTGGCCGGCACTCAACCAACCTCGATGTGGAGTGTGGCTGAACAGGATTGTTTGGGCAGAACTTGCTTTGCTCACACTGGGCACTCTCAGCTTGATTCCTGCTCTACGCGCGATGCAACGTGGCGAATCGGGCATTCTCATGTACATTGCCCTTGCCGCATTCGTGCTTTTCATCCCATGTTGCTTTGTCATTTGGATGCTTATTGTTTTTGCCACCTTGTGCCGTGTTTTGACCATCTTTCATGCTGCGCAGCAGATGGCGCAGGGTCTTTCTCTGGAGTCCGGCAAGGCGTTGCGCCGCAGCCGCAGAGCGGCATTGCTGCAAGGTCTTGGCTTGGTGATTAGCTTAGCCAGCACCTGCACTTTGGTGACTGTTTCCATTGTGCCACCACACAAACAGACCACCGCACGAAGGAGCCGACCGAGCGTGCGCGTGCCGCAACGAGCTTGGTTCTTCCGACACTCGACCAACGCAAACATCTCACATATGGGACTGGCGCAAAGTGTGAACTTGGTCACCAACACACTTGGTGTGATTCTGCTGTCGGGGGCCCATCGCTTCTGGGGGCGTGTTGTTGAAAACAACGCGTCCACAGGCGGCTGTTCCTGCTTCACCTCGGTGAAGCGGGTGAGACGGGTGAGGCCGACCAGAGAGATCGTCGGAAGCGAATGGGAAGCAAAGACTCAGGAACTGGCTGGTCGCGGTATATCTGTGCAGGAACTGCTGTTATTTTATCGCAGATTGGGGAAGGACATCATGTTGTCTTATAGACCAAATGCGCACACTACCAATGATGTTGTGCGACAGGCGATTATCCCAATGACTGCAGCAAACGGGAGCTCCTATGCACAGCTAGTCAATAGAGGTGAACCTAAGATGCCCCAAAAGATGGTGACCCACAACTGGTCCAACCTTTTCCGAGACTTGCTGGCGAGTGTCATTGCTGATGCCCTTGAAGAGCACACCTTTGAACTCGTTTCTGCTTTGCTGGCCGATGAGGTGGGCATCAATGCTTTGGAGCAAATGATCCAGGTGCAAGGAAACTTGGAGGGCGTCTATTGGATTTGTGCCTTTGCAGTGAACCAACACTCCGGGATATGTGGAGCCAACCCACGTGCAGATGTTGATCCTGTCACAATGCTACCACATCCAGTGTGTTCATGTGGGACTTCTAAATTCTTCAACAGCACGCCACCTTTGAACCAGCATGGGGAGAGCATTCATTGTGAAATGAACAAGTTCGACGACATGATGTCCTTTCTAGCGTGCAGAGATGCCTCTTTTGCAGAGGTGGTTGCTGTCGATGCATCATTCGAACTCTTCAGCCGAGCCTGGTGTATGGCTGAGCTGTTCGAAGCTCATCGACTGGGTATGACTCAGATCCTGCTGGTGAGGAATAAAGACACGCTGCTCAGAAGACAGCACACGCTAGAAGGCCTTAGAGTGCAAGATATGAAAGCAAGCCGCCCGCAAGATGTCGATGCCATTCTGGCGAAGATCCCGAACAAGGATGCTTTCAACCAGAGACTTCGGTCTTTGATCTGTGACAGGAATGTTGGCCTTGTTACTGCTTGGAAGCATGCTGATTCTTTGCAGCGAATAGAGCAGCTATCTCATGTATTGAAGTGGGCTCGTTTGTCAACCAGTGTAGAAGATGGACTGCAAGTTTGGCAGAATTGGGTCTAGGCACAGACCATTCTTGTTTTACGTCGGTGGGTGTCAGCAGCATCAACACCAATGTGTGGCTAAAGCAGTGAGCGAAGGCAGAAAAGAACTAATGACGAGAGAGTATTAAATAGTATTCAGACCCCCACTCACAAATCCTGTCCGTTTGCCAGAAGGACGCCATATCCACCATAAAGCGATAAGACAACAAAACGATGGCCCCATAGACAACCCTTCCTATTTTACTTCCTCTCAGGCTTGTCTCTCGCACAAAGACATCGAGGAGTGTTGCGTTGCAGTATCATTGTTTTGTGCAAAGAAATTGATCTGTGTACTAGTTTGCACTACTAGGCACGAAAACGATAACACAACAAACACGATACTGCATCGAGCCTATAACACCTTCCCGTATACACAATGGCCCACATGTATACTAGCTGTCTAGGTCTGGAACGCGCCGTGGCAGCATGTTTATCAGTTCCACACAGGACAACTGCACCTAGCCACTACGAATGTTGCAGCTAGTCAAAGCACCGTACACTCATACCCTACACTGCCCTACACAGACACTCCATGTATGGTATATATGCCTACATTGACCCCCTTTCAACCAACCCTGGCCTGATCGGCAGTCCCATGGGTCGTGTTTGGGTATGGTGAACAGTGTTCTTCTTTGTCTGTTCGACTCGTTCGGGCATCGCCAGGTCCACGAAGAAGGGGTCATCGGATCGCCAAGGGGGTTCGGACCAGTCGGTGTCGGTGGATTTGAGTGTGTCTTCCAACAGAGGTTGAATGACCCTATAGACTATCCCATAGGTACCCCAGTAGGGTCCTATCAGGTCACTTAACCTCTCTTGGTTCCTGACACCTTTGAGGTCGACTGCTCTGGAAGAAGGGAGCAGAACCCTAGGGCTCCTGGCCGCCCCCTCCGTTTCGGTTCGATGGGACAGGGGTGGGTGCCAGGGAGGTGAGTCCCCACCGAACCTGAGGAGATGGGCCAGGAGCCCTAGGGGAAATAGAAATCAACCCAAGACCCATTGGGGCCAGGGTTTTGTTTTCTCTTCAAGTACACCCAAGCCCATGGGGCACACACCGCTGACGCGAAAGCGCCACAGGTGGGTCCACCCACGTGTGCGCGGGGCGGCGGTGCCAACGCATGTGACATCGAATCGGTGAGCAGCGAATCGAAAAAGGGGCTGGTGCATCTCTCACATCAAGCAGAGTGGCTAGTTGACATGCTCTGGTATCATGCGAACTGATGTTATTGTTTAGGGGCTTCTTGTGATTTTGAAGCATGCAATGTGTGTATCGTTTGTAATTTAATGATTACCTGCAGTATGTCTTTTGCTTGTTCCACTGGGTATCCTTTGGGCGTGACTCGTGATGTTCAGATGCTCAGATGAGGGCTACGCTGGGCCGGGTTGACTCGGTCGACTCGTCCGACCAGTCCTGGTGCCCAACCGGGTCGTTGTGGGTAAACAACTAATGCAACAGTTCCCAGACGCTCCAAACAGCTCTTGGTACCTCAACACCCTAGGGATTTGAGACCCCAGACCCCTCCATATGAGGGTCCGACCCCTCCATATGAGGGCCCACGAGCGTCTGGGTTAATCAACAACCAGGGGTCACAGAGCTCGAGGTGGTGTTTAGTCCCAGCCAGGGGCTGTGGAGTAGCTGGGCACCCCGACTTCCTCCAAGTTCAGCACCCCGTCTTGTGACTCCTGGAATACGTATATACGTTAGTGTGCAACACTGGTGCTGATGCATGTGTTTGTTTCATTTGCTTGCATTGATTTGTCGGTTACCAGGTTGATGAAGCTACCCAACCAATTGTTCCATGTGCGTCATCCCTTTGTTCTCATCGAAGCTGTGTCGTCGCGTCGCTGTGTCACTGAAGTCGTGGCTCCAAGGCAGATGTTTCAGATGTTTCATGCCATGCTTAATTGGGGTTTAACACACCTGCATCTTCGGTGGTCCAGCTATGCTAAGCATTCTGAATTGTGTTGTGAATTGCCCATACACATCATCCGCATTCCAATCCATGCCAAAGCCATTTCGCAGGCACATCTCACACTCACGATGTTGCTTTGATTGTCACAGCACGGTGACGCACCCGCTCTCCGCGTTCTTCGAAGCTCTCCGCGCACCACGTTGTCGGGTGCGAAGTGATGGTGAAAGTGACCCTCGAGGAGCTGCTTGGCGCAGCACGCGACTGGCCGTTCCGAAGCACGCGCGGACAGAAGGGCGCACGCGGTTTCAAGACTGGGGGGCCGGCTAAGCGTGTGGGGTTCATCGATTTCATTGGGATGATTGGAAGCTCCGGAGCCGGGAAGATCAACACAGGTCGAAGCGATTCTAGGTCAACGATATACTGTACATTCAGTACTAAAATGTTGGTTGCTTCACTCCTTTCTGTTCCTTTTGTTCTCATTTCAGATTGTCCAAGTTTAAGCCAAGTTGACTTTGGGCCCGCAGGACAGGCTGTAGAGTAGATCTACAATGAACTATAAGGCTATACCCCCCCTTGGCACCTTGGTATTACTCTTAGACCCGAACAGCCTCTTTGGTTCATAAGGAGCTTTTACTACTAAACCCCTTCATCATGTGGCTGCAGAAGTCAAAAGGACAGTGAACGAGTTCAGTTGATGAACATGAACAAACGGCTCATGGTGATTCGGACTAGAGAAGACGTTGGTTTTGGACCCTTCAAGTTGTTGTCTCAGTCAATTTCAGATCACCAACTCTTTTCAACAGAACACTGTGCTGATTTGAGTCTCGAGGTTCATTTGTGGACCTTGGCTAGAAGAGCATGGTGTATTTCGTGCCCAACTGCTTCAGCAGCTCTTGGTGGTAAACGACGTGATAGAAGATTGGCCAAGAGTGCTTTCGGCATGTTGCATCTCAGCAACCAAAAGGAGGTCAGACGGTCTCTCACCCGGGGACATCGGAAGGTATCGACGACCCTCCCTCTATAGAAGCGTTTGAAGTCCGCAACCCGAACAAATCGCAAGGCAACACGCACGCTTTCGGAGCTTCAAACCGTTTTGGGCCCGGATTCTTAGGTATATACCGGGACTCTCCATGTATGGAACAACATGCCCTGCCGAGTTGGATCCCTCAAGCCACCCCTGGCCGTCAGGACTGGCAGTCAGGACTGGCAGTCTGATCAGTACCGGTCAGAAGGGTTGAAGTCGGAAGCTGTGCTGTCGGACCTGTCTGACAACCTGGGGCACCCTCTACCATATGAAGATCCACCAAAAGAATTGGAGGAACGGCCAGAACAGGGGGGGTTGAAAGCTGCAGAACCCTTCGTCTCTGGGAAGCTGCGGGAAGCAGTAGCACTGTACTAGTGAGTGGAGGCAGACGGCAACTGGTCTAGCAGGAGTCAGGTTTGACACAGTGGCGTGCAGCATGTAGCAGGTGGAGTTCATGGCGGTCTCTGGAAATTTGTGGAATGGTTCGAACACCATCCATAGCTCATGAGTTGAGGCCCCCCCCCAAGGCCCTGCCCAAGGCAATGCGATTTTGTCTCTTCTTTTTTGAGATGACTCGCTTCTAAGGTGGAGAATCTAGATGCCATGAGGCAATTCTGGAGGCCGTGAAGAAGGGCTGCACCGGAGCAGAGAAATGGGCGGAGGCACACACTCAGGAGCCCAGACATGTAATCTTTGACGAAAACTACGGAGTGTTTGGATGTGTGTGTGTGTGTGTGTTTGTGTGTGTTTGTGTGCGCACATGTGTGTGTGTGTGTTAACCCCTGTTCCAAAGGGACCCGCGTAGCTCACCTTCGAGCCTTCCTCTCCAGACCTCGGGTTCCTTCCTCTCCTGCAGTGTTGGAGTAGCTGAGTAGCCCGCCTGTCCACCTAGGTCTGTAACCCTGGGTCTGAACCCTGGGTCTGGCTGGGACGGGGACGAGGGGCACCACGCCTTGGGGGCCCCACTCGGGCGCCGGGCGCCTACGCGCCGTGCGCCGTGCGACGCAGGAGCCGTCCCTCTTGCTGAGCTTCCGCCTGCGCCTGGCCGTCCAGTCCCAGTCGCGGCCGCCGCCAGCGCTCCTGGCGGAGGCGGAGGCGGCACTGCTGCGGGGGGAGATGCTGGCGCCGGAGGCCTTGAGTGACTGGGCTTCAGGGCAGAGAAGGCCCGACCAGCTCACCTGATGGTGGGCGGCGAGATCAGTGAGCATGATTGACAGGAGAGATTGCAAATGTTTGGGACTCTTGACTCTTGCAAGGCTTCAAGGGTGTTTTGTCCTTTGGGAGACCTGTGAGTCAGTGATAGATTTTTAAAGGGAGATTTGGAGCCATGATCCCCTTGATAAACCCCAATTAGATTGTTCAAAAGGGGTGAACTTGCCCACACTTCATGGGAAGGGTTCCCAAATCCAAGCACAATATTATTGGATATTGTCGGATTGTTGCAGCATGTTTGCCCATATCTCTTGAACATGGATGTTTGTGCGGCACACGTTGTTTGGGTTGGTGTTTCACCAACTCCCACCTGACCCCGTCCATGGTCCATGGATCGTCGTTGATCATTGGATCGCTGCCCTCGCTGTGCATCTGCTTCGCCCTCGCTCGCTCGCCCTCTCCAAGGCTCGTTGGACGCCAGGAGACGTGCGATCACGGTCGCCAGGGGGTCTTCGCTCGCTCCGGGGGTGCCGGGCGGCCGAACGGAGGTACTCATCACTTCGGAAGGGACGAGCCACACCACACCACACCGCCCCGCCCCGAGCGAACTGTGACTCCTGGGAGATTGAGGAATGTGATGATGTGTTCGAACATGGCTTTCTTGTTTGGACGAGATCTCTTCCGTTTTGGACGAGTTCTCCACATTCGTTCGATGCTCGAGGACCTGTCGCCCCGAGAGGCTGTTGATAGAACCGACCTGTTTTTCCGCCGTCGACCGGTGCGACCGGTGTGGTAACACATTTGAGTGGGTGAGAAGGGGGTATATATCCAGTTGTTCATGAAACAGGGAGCCGGGTCCCCTCAACCGCGCCGTGAGGAGTCTTTGGCCTCGATTGGTGGAGCAGGGTGCCCTTCTGCCCGCTGCGGCCTTGCTGAACTGCAGTGGAACTGAGTCCTTTGAAGAATCCGAGCAAGACGCTGAGCTGCAGAAACACGGAACTGTTACACTCTTCTTGTTTTGTCACCCTGGAACAGTGGAAGAGGAATGTTGTGGTATTGTTGTATGCCTTGTGTCTGATAAAGCAGCAAAAGCACTGCCTACTATATCAAGTAACTCTTTCCTGAACTCTTGCATCCTCAGTTGAACATCCATAAACCCCATCTTCCCGAATTCTGGCATTCGCACCTCGCAGGTCACCAGCCTCATTGCCTCCAATCTGCTGGGCCCCTCCGCCCACGCGCGCGCCGCCCTCGCGCTGTTGACCGCCCTGCGGCCGCTGTCGCCGCCGGAGCTGCTGGCGGCGCTGCTGCAGCGGCAGCCGCTGCACCTGCTGGAGAGCTTACCGTTGCCGGACGAGGAGCCCGTGGCGTCGTGAGAAGATTTGGTTTCGGAAGTCTTAATGTCTTGGAAGTTAGAGAGGTGTTCAGTGGATTCATGTTGATTCAACATATTGTCATGTATATGCTTTTTGCATACTTGCAGCATTTAGTTGGGGTGGTGTTCTTTTCTTTATGGATGAATCCCTCCCGGTTCCATTGAGCAAATTCAAGCATTGAACCTGTTGGATTTTGCATAGAAGGGCTCCGACCCTCCATATGCTTACAGCGTTTTGTAGTAGCAGGTGTCCGGACTCAGGTTCCAAACCCTTATCATTGGTTTGTGAACAGTTTCTTAGGGTGTGTACACTCACAAAAACATGGAACGGATTGACTCAGCCTCTGAGACGCTCTGACTCTGTAGTCAGCCTGCGAGACATTCTGCATTGAACTGTTGATTGCCCACACTTAGGACTTCAACCAAGCAAACGCTTGGGGCATACATGTCGATTGTTCTTTTGTTTGTGTGTGTTTCTTTTTTTTTAATGGAGTCGGATCAACAATAACATTTATATTTATATAAAGTTAAAGCACAAAGACGCGTTTTGCTGTAATTGTTATTTACTCACGTATGACATGCATTATGTTGCATGTTTATGTGTGTTTTAGACACCTCGGACACCTCGGATATGTTTATTTCACCACTTCACCATAATTACGGTAAACGTTCAAAAACAAAATGCCAACCTGGCCAAAAAAGAAAACAGATGCGGAACAATCCAACAACCCTCACCTGACAGGTGGGGAAAAGCACACAGCCTGTCCAATAAAACATCTCCGCCATCTCCGCGCTCTCGATCTCCACCTGCTGGGCGATCGCGAGGATCTGCAGTTTGCGGCGGCGCAGCTGGCGTTGCGCCACGGGGACCGCCGTGTGGCGGGCTCCGTGCTGCGGCGGCTCGAGAAGAGCAGGTGGATGCCGGAGGTCGTGCAGGCGGCGGTGTCTGGGCCGATCTGGGTGAAAGAAGGTTCAATGGCCGGGACCTTCTCAGAAGGTACTTGGAGGCCTATAGACTACTCTCCAGGACCTTCAGAAGGTGACCTCTTCATTGGTCAGTGACCTGATTTCTCAAGGCCTAAGCTGTTTGTGTTTTCAGCCACTGGGATCTCAAAAGGTCACTGGGAAGGTCCTGGTGTTGAACACTTGGTTTCATTCAACATGATTCAACAAAGCAAATCAACAGCTGGGGGATGTTCAACATGTGAGATGATGCATCTCCAGTAAATGAATTTCTTTGTTAGACCATCCCTTCCAAAGTATTTAACATGATTCACTCATCCCTAGACACTCGATGGGACTGGCATATCATGCCACCCTATCAACCCCGGAGCGCGCACCCCTGGCCTCATCGGCAGTCATATCCCAGTTCCAGGCAGGTCGTGTCAGGGATCAGGTCTTTTTCTTTTTTGGGGGGGGCTGTGGCGCATGACAGCCAATTTCTGGTTCATCGCAGACAGTTCCAGAAATGCCACGTCCGACTCTTCCGACTGAGAGATTCCGGAATGGCCTGATGGTTTTTTGTGTCCTTACTGGGGGTCCCCAAATAACACTGTTTTAAGTTTAAGCAACATTCAATTCATCATACGTTGATTTACAGATGTGTTTTCTTTTCACCTCTTAAGCGTTTCCAGTAAATTGCATTGGATCCTTAACACGAATTCGGTCGACCCGACGGCCAACGCCGTCGGGTCGATAGGACTGCACCTGCGGCGCAGGGCCGGACCATCTCACGATGCGGACCGATGAGTAGCAAACTGGTGTTTGTCTTTCTTTGTGGTGCGCGAACGGGATGATGTGGGCCACCTTTGAGTAGTCAGTAGTCAAGGAACAATCCAGGATGACCAAAGATACCAAGCACCGCAAGCCGCAAGTCAAGACGTTTTGTTGCAGAGTCCTACCTCTCCAAAAATGCTTTGTTGCAGAGTCCACCTTTCTCAATGGATCCCTGGGAGGGTGATCTTCCCGCTGTGAATGTCAATCCTCCGCCTGCAGGCCGCCGCCCGCGAGGAGCCCTGGACACAGACCTGGTGGGCCCAGGAGGCGGCGAACGAGACCAACGGATCCCTGGAGCAGCTGGGTGTGCTGATGAACGCACGGCCCTGGACACGTGGGTGGCTGGGTTGTTGGGTGGGGTGCTTTGAAAGGACAGTTGGAGGGATGTGGGTTCCCCTGCGCAGGATTGGTTGACTGATGATCACTTCGGCCGGCAGTCCCGCCCTAGAGGGAAGGTGTTTACCTTGGGCCAAAGATAGAATGTTTCCTGCAAATATCCGGCGTGTCCTATGCCATTCTATGCCGACATGAGGCTTTAAGGGGCATGTGTTCAGTGTGATCCGGCTGCTGGTGCCCTCCTGCAAATTAACATAAACCCCCAAAACCACTGGGTTGTAGAGGAAAAGGTTCTTTAAGGGGTCAATATTCAGGGTCCATATGAGTCTGCAGGGGGTAGTCTGGACACATCATTCCAACCCCAGTTCCAACCCCATCCAGCCCCCAATATCTCACATGGCGCCCACCAATAGTTCTTTGCTATTCCCGGCCACTCCATATGTACATGATGGTAAATATATATATATACAGAATGACATTAAAAAACAGAGAACCCAGTGGACCTTTGTTTTGATTGGACAATTCGGAATTTTGTGTGGTGGGTGGTCCAAAATGCAAGGTCACTCAGGTTCTAGGCTATAACATACACCTGTAGCACCAGATTCTGTTATTCAACAGGTGTGCATAGGAAAACATCGGGCATTCACACACATGCTGAAATACATCCGTTTTTGACAAGTTCTGACCTTCTAAGATGCATTCGTTGATGAATGATGACACTGGATGGTTCTCCGTGGGTGCCCGAGGTCCAATTTCATATACCCAGCTCGTAGACCGCAGAAAGAGAAGCAAGAACAACAGTTGAAACAATAGAACGTTTCTGCTCTGACTACATACACAATCAAACACTGTAAAAATAGCAGCAATACGTAATCTATTATTGTATATAATATATATATACCTAGTAAACCTAAAGTATGCAAAAAAATGTCGTTTCAGAAAAAAAGTTTTTTGTTGAAAATGTATTTTTTGTATAACAATTACCTTTTTGGATTTTGGTTACCTTTTGTTACCTTTTGCAAACTTACTGCTGTTTGTTTGAGAAATCATGGGACCATTCTGTCTGAGATCTCCAGTCTGGAGTTGTTGGCAAATGAATAGGGCGCCAGTACTTACTTTCTGTGCACAGAGGATGTTGCAATCACCAGAGGGCAATTAGATGATACATGATGCCCCCTGTGCACAAATTGCAACTTCCTCGTTTTGCAAAGATTGCTTTGGAGATCCATATCGCCATCGAAACCATTTCAAAGTGGTCGAGCTCTATCTATTTAGTTCATAGTCATGGTTAGAGTGGCCAAAACTTCAAGACGTTGAAAAGCTTCTCTGCCTTTGCCCTCGAAGAACTTCGAAGCGAAGGCCCTGGAAATCGACCGGACAGAAGCCAATTTTACTGAGAGCATGCTGTGTTTTAGATGTGTCAAATTATCCCAACAGCTTGTCATGGAATGCCTTGATTCCATCTTGCCTGGAAGATTCGGATGAGTTGCGGTGATCATTCAAAGCTGAATAATAGAGAAGCGCTTGGGGCAAGGGAAAACAGAACCTAGCTCGATCTGCAATCGCTGAGATTTCCGGTTTTTTTTCAGTGGACATTTAAACTTCCATGCAGAAGTGGCCGAAAAACAATTACGGAACTTACCGTCCAAATGACGGAAATCACCGGAAAAATTGCGGAAATTGCCGGGCACGGTTTGGATGTTTTGAATGTAGAAATTTTTGCTGTTTCAGGGGCCTCTGGTACATTGGTACATGCAGGTTTCCTTTGATGTGGCCACGCCTGCTCCTATCAACTCCTTGGTTTCGAGCTGCGCCACTCTGTGTGAGGTGAGGGCTTTGAAGGCATGCCCTGCCCGACATGATGTTGTGCAGCCCCCTGATGGGGAAGACACCCTTCTCCAGCAGTTGCAGGAGCAAAGCACAGCTAACTCGCTGTAGTAGTTGTTTCGATTCCTTAAGAGGGGCTCGCACTGCGTTACAGGTTGTGTATGGCTTCGGCCCAAACGCCAAATTTTTCTCACACCACTTTTGAGACGAGGGAAATTGTCAAACTGTCCAAATTTTGCGTGTCAGTTAAATGGCATTGTGCAGCCAACAAAGTTTTTATTATTGGGAGAATCAGCCGTGTCAGTAGACAGGTTGCAAGCAAGCAGGTGATCCTAAGGGCCATCGAAAGGTACGGTGTATCCTTGCACTTTCGCCGGAACCGACTCAAACAGCCTAAGTTTAGGTGAACAACTACCTTTTGGTGTAAGAAGAGGCTGGATTTGGGATTGGAAGCAGCTGAAAAAAATGAATATTGCATACCCTCCACTGGCTTGATCGCAGCAACTACAATTTTACAAAACAATGACGTTTCTTGGCTGAGATGACCTTCTTTGCCGGAAAAAAACACGATTACATTTTTTTTGCATACTTGGGTTTTCTAGGTACGATTATATATAATATAGTCATAGTTACTATATCTGTATTTGGTGACCTTTACCTGGTGTCTCTCCACCGTCCTCTCGGCACGAATTCCCTCCAGGAGCTCCCACCACACCCTAGCGGACCTCCTGCGCGGCTGGCTCGCGGCGAGCTCTGCGCAGGCGCGATATGGCGGCGACGCCGACGCTGCGGCGCGCGCGGCCAACGCTGCGCTGCGGCAGCTGCGCTTGGAGCTGCCAGAGCTGCCGGAGTTGGTGAGGCTGCTGGGTGTGGTGTGTGGAGATGGTTGGAGGGTTGGAATAGAGAGTAGGGTGGAGTCTGGGGTCTGGGTGTGGTGGAGTCTTGGGTCTGGGGTAGAAAGAGAGTGGGGTTTTGATGTGATGGGAGATCTGGAAGTGGGTTCTGTTGAATCTGAGGGTTTTCAGAAACATGCATGGGAGATACACGGCTACGCTTGCAAGACTTGTGAAAGGAACTATCAAGCTGCAAACATTGCCTTGGACACTCTTCTGTCCAACATCCTTATTTGCAAAGCATTGGAAAACCCTGACATGATGGCCTGAATCATGCTCCAAGGTCAGTGGCAGAGTCGTTTGCAGCTTTGCAGAAGGAGGCCTGGCCTGTCCTTCACGATGTGCCACATACCAAGTTCTGATATACAACAGATTTTTGAATGATGTCATGATTCTATGTTGATAGTATATAGACATGTATAATTAGTCAGTTTTTTTTAAATAGTAATGATTGAATAGCTTCAATGGTTGCAGCATTGGCCCGCTACTTCACTTTGGGACATAGATCGAACTATATTGAACATCGCATCTATACAGAGAAGTGGTTTCTTCCACATGAATCAGAGGATAGAAAAGGATCAAAGAGGTCTTCCAGTCTCCTCATCTTAGCCACACGCTGAGACTGATGGACACGCACGACAACTAGTTCTGATGTTGGTGTTGATCCCAGATACTCCATGTCTGCCACCGCCCAAAAATAGGCGGCGGAGCAGTGTCCACTGCTGTTGGAGATGGCGGCCTGTGGCCTTGAGGCGGAACGTGAGCTGTGGGGTGAGCTGTGGAGTCAGCCTAGACCTGGTGGGAGTCAGCCTGTGAACTTCTAACACTAAAGGAATGGGATCCTACCCAGGCTACCCAGCTTTCCGAGCTGTGGCTCTATGGGGAGCACCTTCCCAAGAAAGTCGTGCGTTGTCTTGGGGCAATCGTGCTTGGGTGCTGCTGGATTTCAGCATCTTGTCTTCATCCGTTTTGAGCCTACTTTCAACCCCAAAAGCACCATTTGCCTTCATTTGCCCTGCGTCCCGCAGTTCTCCTGCACGAGCCCCGTTGGAATCCGACGTGGACGGTTACGGCTACGCGAGTGACTGGACCCTCGCCAACCCTGTCAGGTGCCGGGCCTTGAGGAGCTGCTGAAGCGCTGTCGTCGCACAGAGCTCAAAGAGCTGGTCACAGCCGATGGCCTCTCCACGCATCAACGGCAACGTCGGGCAGCAGGCGGGCTGGTTTGCGGAGCGCTCGGTGGGAGAAGGTGACCGTGACCTGAACTAGGGGATCCCATCACCTGGGGTTGGGGTATCCAAGTGGGATAGTCTGTACCTGGGCCTGCTGGCCAGGGGTGTGTCTAATATCTTAGAGGTGATTCGGGTGTCCATGAACCACCCCTGACATGGGGGCCCTGGTAGGGTTCTTCAACCGCTGTTGCATGGTATTGGGGGACCCGTCGGATTGTCGGTGGGTCCGACTGACGGAAGATCGACGACAAGGCGTCGACTCATCGACGAAGTCGAGTCGTTTTTGTTTGGCCTGTCGACACTTCTTCTGGTGAGACACCCCTTGGACACAGGGGATTCTGAAAGATCATACTCCTGAACCTCCTGGGGTCACTTTCGAAAGGTATTAATTTGTTCCAGGACGGCCTTAGACCTTCCAAATCGATCGCCCACCGGTGCGAAACGAAACGTGGCTCCAAAACGTGGCTCCCCCCCAGACCCAAGCCAACGGCGCCCCGCTGGCGGGTCCAGCTTCCACCGGAAGGCCGACCCAAATCCTCTGAGAAGGGGGGGTTCAGACCCAAGTACCGACCCGAACCCATCGGGTTTTGAAGCACCAAGAGGGCCGGAGAAAGGCTCGGAAGGCCGGAGAGCGGCTGACTCACCCAGCCTTCGACCCCACCTGCAAAAGGCCCTGCTAAACAGAGCGTCAGGTCTGGGGCGCGACGCTGCCACGGCGCTGTGGGCGGTGAAGCACTTGGGAGCTGAGGTGGAGTTACAGGATGGAGGCAGATCTGGATGGCTGGGAAGGTGGGGTCTTCCATAGACCTATAGGAAGTGACCCACCAAGGGAGTCTTTGTTTGTGACCTGATTAGGGACTATAAGTGACCCCAAACTCCGAGGACCTGGATCTTTACATCACGACGATGGAGTGACCTGTGTCTTTGTTCACTCGATCTTATAAAAGAGGTTTCTTTGGGTCCGTCCCTCCATGGTTGGTCAGGTTTTCCAGGTTCTTGAGTCGCTTTACATCAGCACCGGTCGGGGGAATACGTTCTTCCCAGTGTTCTTCCCTTTGGGGGTCCGTACGTTCAGTCACTGCCTGGATCTGCCTGTGGCCTTGTGGCCTTGTGCCCTTGTGGCAGCATGTTTGTGTTGTATTTGGAACAGTCCTTGGAACAGTTCCCCTGAATCCAGTCCAGTCCACTGCCCTCTCCTTTGCCAGATTCCGCAGGCTTCGAGCTCGTGTTCTCCGGCCAGAGGCCATGCAGCAAACAGGAAAGATCTGGTGTACAGTGGGTATCAGTACTGGGCCTGAAGACGACTTCTTCTGCAGTATTGTTCATCCTTTTGAAGTATATAACTAATTTTTGTGATATCTGCATCTTCATTGGGCAAAAAAGATTGTGCACTTGATTTTGGAGGAGATTTCCGTGTACGCTACAGAAATCTGTGCACTTGAACACAAAATTGTGCATTTCTGTGAGCATGGTCCCGTCTTGAAACACACAAGAAGGCCCTGCTTGTCACTTGCGCCGGAGCCTGCGCTTCCAGCTCAACTTCCGAATCTCCCATTTCATTTTGATACGGATCCGGTCTAGCACTCTGTGGCTTGCAGTTCTTGAACTCACTCTCTGACATATCCTGCTAACATGTCCCACCACAGATGCATAAGCTTCATAACTGTAGGGTAGTGGACAGGGAAAGATGAAAGATGTGTGTTGGGTTGGGAACGACGTGTATAGGACCGGAAAAGACGTGTATTGGACAGGTAAAGACGTGTATTTGACGGGAATTTCCGGGTAGAACAAATTTGTCACGCGGGACTTTTCTTCAACAAAATGGAGCCCTGCCGGTTTGACAAGCTCCAAATCATTCCAAATCTATTGAGGGAGCAGCGGACGCCATTCCTTTGGGATGGGCACACCCTTCGACCCACAAAGGTATCTCAATACTTCTGACAAAGCTGCATGTGCTCATTTGTCACCGAATTACAGGCTTCGGAAGTGGAAAAATGCTACCCAATACAGCCCGAAGGGCTACAATCAGAAAATGTGCATTTCAAATGACTTTTGTGTTTTTTCCTGAAAGACGTGTAGTGCACAGGAATTTCTGAATGCACAATTATTTTTGATAATTTGAGGTTGCAGGTATGGGTGAAGCAGTTACGACCACAACACATCCAAGCCCGACCAATTTAAATCTATCAATCTTGACTGAATAGACCGAATAGACCTCTTTAGTTAAACGAAAATCGTTTGGAATTTTGAACATCCACTGACAGATCTCAGATGTTCCCACAGCATCAAACCAAAATCCCTTTGGGTCTAAGTCTTGCCGCACTGCGCAGCCCGGAGGTGTGGCTACATCTCTTGGAATGATGCCAGAAAGGCTTGCCTGGAAGACCTTTCTGTCGCAGCTTCATATCCCACCCAGGAGAAGAACGGAACTGCACACTGGTTTCCCAGTCAGGAGGGTCCGTTCCGAGGTCTTTCGGGGGATCCTGGAAAGCAAGGCCAATGGGTAGCTCATCGGCCTCCAATAAAGTCATACAAAAGGCGGTTCCGAGATCTTCCAAGGCGATTCCTAGATCTTCCAACTGTGCCAAATATGTTAACCTTTTCATAAGTTTTCATCTATGAAACCAGCCAAGGTCGGCAAGCAATATCATGCATTAATACAGTAATGGAAAATCCAGGTTGCTCTTTGCCATGGCCCCTTGTTCTTTGGGCGGTGTGAAGCTATAATAAAGCTGGCCCCTTCAAAAAGCTTCAATCTATGGCCCTCAAATGTCCTTGACCCTGGGTACAACATCATTTTGATGGTGTCAGGATCGCCCACCTGACTTCAACTAAGAATCCCCCCGATGGATCATCCGGATGAAAGAATACTCATTGGAACGCTCGATAACCGCAGGGCGCCTTCGCTCCCAACTGGTCGGATCTCGAGTCTCAACCCGTCGATCTCCTTGGTCTCGGCGTCCCGGAGCAAATCGAAGTGTTTCAAGGCCGTCCCAAAAAGATTGCGTTTGGGTTCGGGCATGGATGTGAGTCCGTTGTTTGTGGCATCCGAAGAAACCCTGTTTGAAATGACGCGACTGGGGGGGTGGGGCGAAGAACAAGTGAAGTACGAAGGAATTAGTGACTAGTCGAGCAATCGGGGGTAGGCAGGCGGAAAAAGCCCAGACACAACTAATGATACCAGCCAGCCAGGACCCTCCTCTCTGAAGTATGTGCCTAGATTATCCTAGATTCATTCCCCTTATCCAACCACTCCCAATGTACCCCGTCCCATTTTGTTGTCTTTTTTCCACTGTCCAGGTCGTGTTTTCAGGTGTCTATAGTGTCTAAAGCGACCGATTTCGATCGCCAGGACCCGGAGTATGCCACCTTTCGACCCACCTTGCTGACCCTGGGCCCATTGGCCCGAACGCTCAGGGCCGAACCCGCGTTCGCTTTGGACTTTGCTTCGCTCGGTGGAGACGCACAAGGAACGCGGTCCGAGGACTGGACTTCGGCGCAGCGCAGCGAGGGTGAAGTCTTTCACTCGCTGGAAATCATCATCCCGGGATTCAGTCGTACCGAACCTCAGGTTCGGTACGACAACGGACCCTCCAAATACCTACGTATAGTCAGTGTCGACACACATCACCATACCTGAGAAGGTACGACTGGATCCTTAGGGCATGGTGATGTGGAGTGAGTGAAAACCACTAGTTTGGTCTTCGGAACACTCATGGTCCTCTCCGAGTCGAAAGTGGGCGAACTGCGTTCTTCAGGGCTGCCAGGCCCATGATTGTTTCAGAGAGTTCTCACCTGCAGGTGAATCATCTCGAGCCCCGTCCGGTTCGTGTAGGGGGTTGTGGTCCTGCCCGCCAGGCCATCCATGGGGCTGTAAGACGTTTTATGTCGATTCATTTACCCAGGAACATGACTCATCCACCTGGTTCTTCAGTTCGTGACCTGTTGAAACCCCCTGGTTTGAGGTCACTTATACAACATAGGCCTGGTTTTTTGGTGGGTTCACTGGCGTTCGGACTCCAGGTCATTTGGACACGGACTGAAGAAGCTGGTAATCCCAGTGACCACTATATGAGGAACCATGGCCCCTTGTTCGGTCTATCGTTTGGTCGTCACCACTGGTGACCAGCTGAGGTTTCAGAGTTGCCTGGATCCATTGGGTATAGTATAGTATCATGGCTGTCCTTGACCCATTCAGGGTTTAGAGTTTATAGGTTTTTTTTTTCAGGCTCAGAGCTTGATTCTGTCAATTGTTGACCATTTTCTCCTGAGACATTGAATTAAATTGGCTCTCCTTGCTCGGTGCAGCTCTCCAGGAAAGGGAACACCGGGTAAGAGTCCATGAACGGTGAAGTGGTAAAAGGAGTGCACTTCACATTTGAATTCTGTATTGTTAATTAAATCACCCAAGTACGGACACCGGCTTGCCACGCCACCGGAAAATGCCACCTTGCCAGAGGGCAGGATTTGTCAGGGATGAGTGGCTCCAGTGGTTGACAATGAGGAGCACAACTCTGTAGCCAATAGGTGGGCAGCATGAGAAGAAACAGGATTTGTTTGATTTGTTGGCGATTTTCTTGGGCTCTTGACTCTTTACAATCCGTTTTCTCTGGCCCTGTCATCCTTAATGATCAAATCATATTCCAAGTACAATCAGATGCAGCCTATGCAGGGGACTCTGCAGGTGAGCATCGGACACGCCACACCCCTGTGCTGCGCTGGCAGAACACCCTGCACGATCCGCACCCCACGGTCTCCCGAGAACACCGCGGCACCCGAACGCCGTGAGTCGACGACGGAATCCGGTCGACCGTGAACTCGAACGACCGCGGTTTCACCGGCTTCAGCGGCCCAAATTGACCTCGAGCGGCCAGCGAATGTTGGTAGAGGCGCCCCAGATGGCACAGGCGGGGTACGGAGGGGCCAACATGGCCGGAGATCACCCAAGCCCTAGAAGTGCAGTTCAATCTGGCACCACAGTAGAGGACTTTCCGGAAATGGGGTCACGGCATGATCAAGACCATGTTGAGTCTTGGAGTCTCACAGGGTCCCAGTGCTCAAGCTAGGCACAACATGGGAGACCTTGGGTGGTGGGGGTCGGGTTCAGTCTCTAGCTTGCGAGGATGTAGCCGTAGTGCAAGGTAAACTCCGAATTGCAGTGAGGAAAACCACATATTGCAGTTTACACACATATGTCCAATATTTTCCGATGCCATCCGATGCCTTACAGTTTCTTTCTTGACACAGACACATGATTCATCTAGCACTCAATGTGAGGTCGATAGACCTTTGGATCGGATTTTTTGATCGGTTTTTGTTTGGGGGTTATGGATGTCACAAGAACAGCTCGAAAACGGTTGGCCTTGATTTTCCAAAAGAAACGGCGACAAGGGAGTCAGGAATGCAAGATACGTCAAGATACTCAGTACTAAAGAACGGGTCCCGGTTGCATTTTCCATTTGGTTACAATCACCTTCTGGGATTTCTGGGGAACATCTGTTTGTTTTCCAGGCTCCATCCTCAAATATGTGCCGTCACGGTCACTCCACGATCTTTGCGCGTCACGCTTACAATGCGCCGCAAAGCGGGCGCGCTCCGACGCAGGCCGGAAGAAGCGTGAGATTTCAGGAGGAGTCGGAGGAGATTCATGCCGCCCGGCGTTGCCCAGTGAGTTTTGAACACCTTCCCAAGCGGTGCACCCCGCAGCTGATGGGCGACCGGAACGCGGGTCCCTGAGTCCTCCACTCCCTGCGTTTTGTTTAAGGTGATGTTTCATTTTCATTCATTTTCTCTATACCCAGACACTCCATGGGACTGCCATGATCTCATGACCCCATGATTAATCACAGAGTCAGTAAAATTTTCACCGTAGCATTGGGGCTTAAGAAAGCGGGGTGAATGGGAGAGGGGGGCACTCCCCCTCTCCCAGTGTGCGACAGGTGCCGCCACTTTGTCGTAAGAGACAAAGGGGTGGCCAGCTGTGGTCCCTGCCGCAAGGCATACCAGCTCCAGGTATCACTGAGGAACGTGGTACCTCCCGGGAAGGACGAATCGGCCGTCGTCTTTCTCGAAGGCTGCTTCACTCTGCTCCAGGACTGGCTCACCGAGATCCGAGGACTGAGTGATCGAGAAAAGGCAGCCAAGGACAAAGCCCAGCGTGAGGACAAGCCCCAAGACAAGCCCGAGAGAAGAGAGGAAGAATCGAAGGAGACCAAGAGCCCGCAAACAGCCAGGACCAACAAGCCCGACAGAGACCAACCGCCCCTTAACCCAAGTCGCCCATCCGGATCCAGCAAGGGCCCCAGCAGACTACCCTTGCCACCGCCTCCCCCATACCATCGGCACACCAGCGGAGCACCAGCCGAGGTTACAGCTCCCAGACCGTCCGAGTTCCCAGACCAAGCCATAGTGGCCCTGAACCCGGGGTTGAACGGTCCGAGGCAAAGCTCACAGCACCGTCCAAAGACAAGCGTGCTCCACCAGTAGAAGAAGAGGAGGTTGAGGTGGAGCCAGAAGAACCCAGCAGTGCAAAGAAGGAAAAACCCAAGAGGAGAAGGCGAAGGGAGAGATCAAGCAGTTCTCCCAGTTCGAGAGGGCGAGACAAGAAGAGGACGCGGCGAGAGCGGAAAGAGAAGAAGGAGAGGGATCGGCGAAGGAGGAGGTCCCCGTCAGGCAGCAGCTCCGTGACTGGGCCTCGAGTGCGAGAGGCAAAAAGAAGCGAGGCTCCAAAGCCGAAGTCACCGGCCAGGCCCCGCAGCCCGCACAGTGAGGCCGCCGAGGAGGCCACCAGCCCCGCGAGGCCCAGGCTGGATCGGAAGAGTGCCCTATAGCAGCCACCCGCGTTGGTGGGTAGGGAAAAACAAAGGAGTGATTAGAAGAGCTAAGCAGGAGCTCTTCAACCGACGAAGGTGATGCCACCTCGAGCCAGACCAGCTACCAGAGCCCCAGCGCTGCGAAGGAGACCATCCAAGAAGGTGGAAGCAGAGGAGAAGGTGACCCGGCTCCATTCCTTCAGAGAGCTCGCCGCTGTGCAGTTGAGGACGCTTGGGCTCATAGAGCTAGCTCAGGCATCCTACTATGAGGGGCATATAAAGCTGGCAGGCTATGTGGAGGGCCTTGGCAAAGATGAGGAGTTTTTGAGCTTCCGTGCAACAGGTACGCAAAGCGACCACATGATGGAGCTCCTGTCCGACCCTCAGAAGCGTACCTTTCAGCTCCACGTGTGTGGGCCTGACTGCGGGCAGAGAGAGACGGGCCCGGACATCATCCATGCTGCTGGCTACTGGTTGGTTGAGGAAGAGCCGAAGCCTTGGCAGATCCAGTATGATGGGTTGGACGCAAAACCAGCAGCAGGGGATGGGTTGAGCGGACCACGGCATGACGAGCTGGCCAAGTTGAGGACGCTTCACGAGGAGAGGCAGGTTGGTAGCGCCAAGAAGGAGACAGGAGAAGAAGGGAGCAATGCATTGCTTGAGTGAGGCCAGAAAACGTTGGCTGCATGCATTGTATGCCGGGACCTGCTTGGACCCAGATGCTGAGGCTCGCAGCAGGCTGTTGAAGAGGGCGAAGCGCTTTGGAGGCAAGGGCTCAAAGAAGAGGAAGCGATCGTCCAGTGAGGAGACGTGCAGCTCGAGCGCCTCGAGCGAGTCGGAAGAAGATGGTGAAGGCTTGTTCGAAGAGCGCAAGCGAGCCCTGCGCCTGACGCGGCGCTACCCAGGAAGCCTGGCAGCACAGACGGTCGCCAACATGAAGGAGTCCTTGCTTACCCAGATCGGAAGCCTGTACTCCCAGGATCGGAAGACTCTTCCTCCGATCTTTTCGCAGTATTACCGCTCGGAGATGCAGCCACTATGCTCGCCGTCGATGAGTCAAGAGCTCCTTACGCTGTCACAGGGGGCCGACTTGCTACTTCGTGGACATCCTGCACGCGCGCTGGACTTGGTGGCACAGCGTATCAAAGCCCTCGATCAACAGATTCGAGGCGGACATTGGACAGTTGCGAGACAGCTGGAGTTGGTCAGCGCTGACTCCGTCGGGTTGAGCCTTAAGGTCCTGAAGGACAAGAAGCCGCGAAGTTGGCCCGTGAAGAGCTCAGAGATCGCCTAGCTTCCCAAAGACCATACTCCGCCAGTGGTTCAGGAGGCCGAGAAAAGGGAGAAAGTGCTGGGAAAGGAAAGGATCGTTACACCTCCGGAGGAGACAAAGGAAAAGGAGAGAAAGGGAAGAGAGAAAAGGGAAAAGGAAAGAAGAAGAATGAGTAATAAAAGGCACAAGAAAGACTCCGAAGGAGGTTTGAGAGACGATCCAAAGGACAAAGCAGAGGAGCTTGAAGAGGATGGTGCATTGAGGGGTGCGACATTGGTTGATACATTGGGCGTGTTGGAGGATGAGGCAATAGAGAGGCTGTTGGAAGAGAGTTCAAAGAGGGGCTATAGTATGAGGGCTGAGCAGGGCAAGTCGAGAGAAAGTTTTCCAAGGGAGAATGTGGTCTCCCAGTGTCGTGAGGCGATGACAGGAGGCGCTGAGGACATTGGGCAGACTGCGTATGAAGTTGAAGGGGAGCGAGACTCCCAGCACTTGAGAGGTCGCAACGAGAAGTCCAATGGTGTTGGGAGAGGAGTTGGCCCGACGACTAATGCCTCCCCACTGGTGAGTGGGTCGAGATGGACGTTGTCGGAAGCAAGCAGGCGGCAAGCATTTCATATTTTCCAAACATTCAAACAAATGTTATATATTACTAGAAGAGTGTCGTCAACACCTTGCCACGACATGTCGAAAAAAGGGTTTGCGTTTTGAGGAGCTTGGGAAGGTTCTCTTAGAGGCGTTGAAGGTGCAGGAACAGATGTACACGCGTTGCAGCAAGACCAAGGGGGACTTGTTCCCCTTGCCCCTTCCATCGTCTTTGGAGGCCTCAAGCTCCCCCATGTTTTGTGCAGATGCAGTGGTGCAAGCATTGAATTCATTGTACGGGACAAAGACCATTGAGAGATCCAGTGATCAATCAGGCCTTGAAAGGTGATGCAAGGCTGGCCTCAGGGCATCAAGAAATCAGGCGAGATCGGCCTTCACCTTTTCAGGATTTATCTTGATAACTACGATGAGCTGAAAAAGGTAGATAGGTCTTTAGCTGAGATGTTGGCTGGGACCCCCTCAGCCTGGACGCTAGCAGTGAGGCAGACCTATGAGACCCTTGGACTCCCCCGGCATCCCAAGAAAGCCGTGATGCAATCCGTCAAGGCAGAGGTTCAAGGCGCTTGGGTGGGTGGTGAGCTCGGTAGAGCCGGGCCCAAGCCCGAAAAGGTGATGAGGTACGTGAAGCTTGCTTGCGAGGCAGTGATCAAAGGGAAGGCTTCACAGCGAGAGCTCCAAGTTATCGGAGGAGGCTTTGTATACATTGCGATGTTCAGGCGCCCTCTTCTAGCAGGGTTGAATGCAATCTGGAGACGCGTGGTCGAACTGGACAACCTCAAGGCGACGCAGAGAGCTAGCTTAGGACCAGAGGTAGAGCATGAGATCATTCGGTTTGTCGCTTTGACCCCGCTAGCCTATATGGACTTTCGCACACCGATCTCAGAGAAGGTGACGGCGAGTGACGCCTCCACAACTGGAGGTGGGTTGTGCGTGTCGAGGAATGTTAGCCCTTACGGGATAGCGGCAAGCTTGGCCAGTTGCAGGGGAGATGTGATCTCCCAGGATGAAGTATATAGGTGCGATCCTGGTGGTGTCCCTCTTCGATGGCATTGGAGCTCTCCGCATTGCAGTAGACGCCCTTCAGGTGCCAGTTGCTGGGTACGTTGCTGCGGAGATTTCTCCGGGTGGTTGAAAGCTGGTTTCCCGAGGTTGTGAAGAAGATCGACGAGCACGAGGCTAGTAGTTGGTGCCTGAGATTCCCTGGCGTTTGTGCGGTCCTCCTTGGCGCCGGGCCACCATGTCAGGGCGTATCAGGATTGGACACGGATCGAAGGGGTGCTCTGCGTGACGTGCGTTCCTGCCTCTTCTCCCACGTGCCGCGAGTTGAGGAGCTCTTGAGGAGGTTCTTCTCGCGGTGTCCGGTGTTCACTCTTGTTGAGAATGTGGCCTCCATGGATGTTGAAGATTGTAGGGTTATGTCGAAAGCCTATGATATTTATCCGTGGCTGGTGGACTCGGCAAGCTTGTCCTTGTGTCGACGCCCCCGGTTGTATTGGTTTAACTGGGAGCCAAGAGAAATCCAAGGTGCCTCGATTTGTCGTGGAGAGACTCATCGCTTACCACTGGCCGGGAGCCTACGCGTTGAGGCGAAGATCGATGAACGTGACTTCTTGGAACCCGGTTGGAAGCTTGCATCTCAGGGTAGTCTCCCCACCTTCACCACCTCACGACCATCTCCCATGCCAGGAAGGAAGCCGGCGGGGCTCGCGCTGTGTCCCCCTGAAGCTGTTGCCAGGTGGCGCGCTGATCAACACAGGTTCCCCCCATACCAATACAGATGGGAGAACACTGTCATCGACTCCCAAGGGGACGTGCGAATTCCTTCCATAGTTGAGCGGGAGGCGATCCTAGGCTTTCCCTTCCAGTATACTGCTAAGTGTCTTCCCAAATCTGAGACCGAAACAACCCGCTGCAGCGATCTTCGGCTGACGTTGTTGGGCAATAGTTGGTCGGTCCCCGTTGTGGCGTGTTTGTTACATTGCCTCTTTGCCACTTTGGGCTTGAATGAGCAGAAAAGCATCTAGGAGATTGTTGACTCCTTGACACCAGGTAAATGCCCTAACATGGCAGACTTGTTGATGCGTCCTCCTTTGCGACATAGTACCGCCCCCGGACAGGAGAGTTATGGTCTGGTGCAAAAGCTTTTGGGTCAGGTCTCTGTGAAAGGGGAAGACATTTTTTTGCAATTGGCCACCGACATCCCCGCTCGATACCATCGACTGCGTGCATCCATTCCCGGAAAGTTGTGGAGGTGGCGTGATGTCGTAGGCTGGCGCTGGACGGGTGAGAAAGAGCACATAAACGCCCTAGAGCTCAGGGCTGTGAAGACGGCTTTGATCTGGCGCATCAAAGAGCTGAAAGAGCATGGCACTAAGTGTTTGCACCTTGTTGATTCGCTTGTCGTGCTACATGCTTTGTCGCGTGGTCGGTCGAGTAGTCGAAAACTCCGAAGAACTCTTGCTAAAATTGGCGCGTTGTTGTTGGCTAGCGGACTTCATGTAGCCTGGGGCTACATTGATACAAAGCAAAACCCGGCGGACCGCCCGTCCCGCCGGCCGGTTCGAAAAGGATGGCTAAAAGCACGAAGAAGATAGTTGAAGGCCGCAGCAAACAGCAACGCCAAAAAGTACGCAAGAGTCTAGGAAAGTTGAAAGACCTCACTGTTCAGCCACGCACCCGACATCGCTATGATCAAGCTCTACATCAGTTTTTGGATTGGTTGACAAGGGAGGGCATTCGCCTGCCAGACTACCTAGAGTTCCTGTGCCCCTCAGGAGAAGGGAAGACTGTTGCTAACAATGCGCTTGCAGCACTCCAGGACTATGAGCCTGGTCTCAAGAAAAAGCTCCCGGGAAGTTGGCGGCTGATGAAATAAGCTTGGAATTCGGCGGAAATCCCGAACCGTGCGCCACCTCTGACACTCACTCTGCTGAATGCTTTATGTGGTTGGAGCGTGATGCAAGACTGCCCTGAGTTTGGCCTTTCGCTTCGCGTAGCATTTTTTGGACTGTTGCGCACCGGAGAACTTTTAAGTCTCCGCGCAAAGGACATCTATCTGACTACACCCAAAGGTCCAGCGGTCATTTCTCTGGGCATGGCCAAGTCTGGAGCCCGACAAGGGGCTGCTGAAAGCGTGACCATTCATGAGTCTTCTGTGATTCCGGGCCTTTATCGCTGGAAGTGTCTAGCCAAGCCTAATGATTTCCTCACTATAAAACCTCATGCCTGGCGCCATTTGTTTAATCGCGCCGTAGACGGACTGAAGCTCCAAGACTTTGCCTACCGACCCTATTCCCTCCGTAGGGGGGGGGCAACATTTTTCTTCCAGCGCCACGGTAGCTTCGATCGGTTGCTCGTCCAAGGACGTTGGGGAGCCGCGAAAACGGCTCGTATATACCTGAACGACGAATTAGCACCCCAATCCTTGAGCCTGGGCCCCGGAAGGCGCCCAGACCAGGGGGACGTGGAAAGCCCCGAAAAACCTGTCCTTTTTCGACGTTTCGAGGGTAGAAGAAGAGAGTGTGAACCCTCAAAGGCTACCTTTGGGAGATGGAGGTTATCCAAGGTAGTCCCTCTCAAAGTGTTCGGGCTCATGGAGCGCCGGTTTGGCGGCTGCGGCCATGAGGGGCACTGGGGGGCACCCCCTTCTTCCTGGTTTGGCGGAAGTCGAGGGGTGTCGGGGCCCCGAGAGGTTACTGTTTCAATCGTATGTTTCCATCGAGCTTTTCGATTTCAGACAAACTGGCTGCAACGCGTGAAAAAGACTGGCGGCTGTGATTATATATGCCTACATTTGGGTTCAATGTAGGCATGCATATATACCATACATGGAGTGTTTGGGTATGGGCAAATCCCCCTTTGGTGAATATGTTTAAGTTAGTTTAGAAGTGTTTTCCAGGTTCCTGAATCCATAGACTCCATGTGCCTTTGAACCCAGTGAGCCGGTGCAACAGAGCAACGATTGACTCGAAGATCTGGTGCAACAGACCTGACTTCATACCTGGAGTCGACCCGTTCGTAGGACGTCGTCGCTTCATGTTTGGGTGAAGTCGGATCCTCCTTGGCTACCCTCGGCCTCGGTCGTGACCGTCACAATATAATTACGTGGTGAAGAGACCATCCATCCACCACCCACATCGCATCTAGACATATAGACACCCCCTGCAAAAACCAGGGGAACCCCGGGGTTGTCTATGTGCATCGTGAAGAAGACGATCGAGACATCGAACCCTTCAGTTTGGCTCGATGTCTCTCAATGCCTTCGCTGCGTTGCGCCGCCATGCACGACTGGCGGGAGACATCGGAGACATCGGAGACGGAGAACACCACTGACAGTGAGACGGAGAACACGGTTGAGACGTCGGGTTCCTGCCAAGTCCGAAGCGTGGTGTTTAGGGTGGTGGTTTTGTTCATTTATACTTATATATGTTTGATAACATAGATACTTATAATATATATATATACTTAATACTATGTTTATACATGTGTGTTTTCCCGGTTCCGAATCCCAAACAAACAAATTCAAGGAAGTCTTTGGAAGTTCAAACTCGACCCGTCACTGCACAGATGCTGGACATGTCTCGGCGCTGTGTGCGTCATCGTGCTGAGTAGTTTGGGAACCCTCCTCATTGGCGCTAGGGGTGACATGGGTGACATATCATACTATTTGAGATATCATGCAGATATGGATTTCCTCATCCTGATGGCTTGTACAGCCGTGGCAGCTTGTGGAGCTATGTGGGTATGGTGCCATGCCTCAACGCCACACCTCCTTCAGGCTTCAGGTTTTCTGGTTCTCAACTGGATCGAGGGGTTAACCTACACCAGCTGGATCATTGCCTTTTTTAGCGGAAACATCGAGACAGGCTATTTCTTGCTCGATCTCAAAGTTGTCTTGCACGTCTGTGAAATTGTGATGCTGCAGATATTGGTCCAGAACCGTCTCCAAAGCATTTGGCCAGCACTCAACCAACCTCGATGTGGAGTGTGGCTGAACAGAATTCTTTGGGCAGAACTTGCTTTGCTCACACTGGGCACTCTCGCCTTGATTCCTGATGCGATACAACGTGGCAAATTGGGCATTCTTATGTACATTGCCCTTGCCGCATTCGCGCTTTTCATCCCATGTTGTTTTGTCATTTGGATGCTTCTTGTGTTCGCCACCTTGTGCCGTGTCTTGACCATCTTTCATGCTGCGCAGCAGATGGCGCAGGGTGTTTCTTTCGAGTCCGGCAAGGCTTTGCGCCGCAGCCGCAGAGCGGCATTGCTGCAAGGTCTTGGCTTGGTGATTAGCTTAGCCAGCACCTGCACTTTGGTTCTTTCCTTTGTGAATGCCCTTCTGGGAATAGTCGATGTTGCTGACACCTTTACGGAACTGGCGCAATGTGTGAACTTGGTCACCCACACAATTGGTGTGATTCTGCTGTCGGGGGCCTATCGTTTTTGGGGACGAGTTGCTGAAAACCACACGTCCACAGACAGCTGTTCCTGCTTCAAATCGGTGAGGCCGGTGAGACAGGTGAGGCCGACCAGAGAGATCGTCGGAAGCGAATGGGAAGCAATCACTCAGGAACTGGCTGGTCGCGGTATATCTGTGCAGGAACTGCTGTTATTTTATCGCAGATTGGGGAAGGACGTCATGTTGTCTTACAGACCAAATGTGCACACTACCAATGATGTTGTGCGACAGGCGATTATCCCAATGACTGCAGCAAACGGGAGCTCCTATGCACAGCTAGTCAATAGAGGTGAACCTAAGATGCCCCAAAAGATGGTGACCCACAACTGGTCCAACCTTTTCCGAGACTTGCTGGCGAGTGTCATTGCTGATGCCCTTGAGGAGCACACCTTTGAGCTAGTTTCTGCTTTGCTGTCCGATGAGGTGGGCATCAATGCCTTGGAGCAAATGATCCAGGTGCAAGGAAACTTGGAGGATGTCTACTGGATTTGTGCCTTTGCGGTGAACCAACACTCCGGGATATGTGGAGCGAACCCACGTGCAGATGTTGATCCTGTCACGATGCTGCCACATCCGGTATGTTCATGCGGGACTCCCAAATTCTTCAACAGCACGCCACCTTTGAACCAGCATGGGGAGAGCATTCATTGTGAAATGAACAAGTTCGACGACATGATGTCTTTTCTAGCATGCAGAGATGTGTCTTTTGCAGAGGTGGTTGCTGTCGATGCATCATTGGAACTCTTCAGCCGAGCCTGGTGTATGGCTGAGCTGTTCGAAGCTCATCGAATGGGTATGACTCAGATCCTCCTGGTGAGGAATAAAGACACGCTGCTCCGAAGACAGCACATGCTAGAAGGCCTTAGAGTGCAAGACATGAAAGCAAGCCGCCAACAAGATGTCGATGTCATTCTGGCGAAGATCCCGAACAAGGATGCTTTCAACCAGAGACTTCGGTCTTTGATTCTTGACAGGAATGTTGGCCTTCTGACTGCTTGGAAACAGGCTGATTCTTTGCAGCAAATAGAGCAGCTATCTCATGTACTGAAGTGGGCTCGTTTGTCAACCAGTGTGGAAGATGGACTGCAAGTGTGGCAGAATTGGGTCTAGGCACCAGCCATTCTTGTTTTGCGTCAGTAGATGTCTGCAGCATCAACATCAATGTGTGGCTAAAGCAGTGAGCGAAGACAGAAAAGAACTAGCTAGAGATTGTAATAATACCCTCCACTCACAAACAACATCAACGGACATTCAAGGGACATAACTTTGTTGAATTTCACAAAACAACTACGCTTTTACATGCCCGGATGTCTTAGGTATAGAGATTCTAAGACCCTCCACAAATTGTATTGCTGCATGTTCCTCAAACACCAGGTTTTGTACACTCTATCCACCGTCAACGCATGTAAACGATATGTTGTCCCACAGTTGACACCTCATCCTGGTTTTGCGAATCAGGTGATTTGTGATGTTCCCTATGGTTCAAACTCCTTTTGGGGAATATGTATGAATATATATATATATTACAGTTGTTATACAATACATGCCAGGCAATTTGTGCCAGTTGACAGGAATGTTGGCCTTGTTACTGCTTGGTAACATGCTGATTCTTTACAGCAAATAGAGCAGCTATCTCATATACTGAAGTGGGCTCGTTTGTCAACCAGTGTAGAAGATGGACTGCAAGTGTGGCAGAATTGGGTCTAGGCACAGGCTTCACAGGCCATTCTTGTTTTGCATCAGTAGATTGATGTCAGCAGCATCAACACCAATGTGTGGCTAAAGCAGTGAGCGAAGGCAGAAAAGAACATATTCTATCCAAATTGCATGTCCGTCAAAACGCCAGGTCTGGACACTCTATCTCCACCATAAACGAATGTAAACCATATGGGTGTCCAACAGTTGACACATGTTGACACCATGGTTTGCATCTGTTTTTCTCCGGTCCTGAACACCTGGTAGGGCCCCCATCGACTCGACCCGAAAGGCCTACAGGTTTCAGGACCTGTACCGAAACCGGGTTCACGTTGTAAAGACACTACATCAATGAGGTTTTCAGGACCAGATTTATTTGTTCTGGGGCTATAAGTCCTTTCGCTTTAGAAGTGAATTCTTACATCTTCTTCCTAAACCACATGTCGGTTCCTGTTCAACCCAGACGTCGTCGACAGTGTCAAACCTCAACCGACTGGACGGACCAAAAGATTCAGAAAGTCCATGGCCTTTCACCACTTTCCACCACAGGTCGTGAACACCTTTATCCAAGTTGGCAAGGCGCAGAGGCTGCGAGAACACCGGACCGACACGGACCACGCTTCGGCGTCCGTCCACCGGTCCAGCACGGACGCTTCGGCCCTTGATGGTTCGGGTCTTTTGGATATCTATAGCAGGGAAGAGGCAGGAATTCTGCATATTTGTTCAATATACTTCATTTTACATGGCTTCCATGTCCGTTCCGCGGGAGTGGTGGACTTTATGGTGGACGAGATATTTAGTGGGATGCGCTCAATAGACGCACAGATGGCTCAGATGGAGGTCAAGACCACTGTTCCAGGTTTGTCATGTGGTCTCGATGTGCAATGGCCTGGAATCCTATTCCTGATAAACCAGGCCATTATAAACAATATCCCAGACAACCATAATTAGGTTGAAATGGCCATAATAGGTTGGAGCCTATTATGCACAATGGCCTGGAATCCTATTCTGTTACCATGTGTTTCGAAGACAGTTGGAATTATAAACCATCTTACCCTAGGGCTCCTGGCCCACCTCCTGAGAAGACGGCTTGCCAGGGGGGTCTAGCCACCGAACCTGAGGAGATGGGCCGTTCGGAGCCCCTGACACATCCCAAACACCAACATGTTCCATAGATCCGTTCGGTGCTCTATTTCGCACTCTACGTACCTTGTGGAGCTCTTGTGTGCACCCTTCCAAGAGCGAGAAGGTCGGACTGATGAATGGATCTACCAGGGGGGGTTCCCGGTGGCCCGGGTGGTTCACACCCATGAAGCTCCAAAAGGAGCTATTCTTGGACACAACCCTGGCCCGGGTGGGGGCCCTGGTAGATGTACTTGATTCCCTAAGAATCAAGGACCCTCAGCAGGTGAAGGTTTGGTTATAGGGTTCTTGTTCCCCTGCGTGGGACCCTGGCAGTGTCCAAAAGACCAGAGAGGGTTCGGAGGATCCCAGCACGTCAACCGGTTCTCCGATGTGGCCATGAACTCGGGTGGTTTCGAGTTCTTAAAGTCGCAAAGTCAACAGGGGCTTTCACACCCCAAGGGGAAGCTCACAGAATGGAGAACACGTGTAAGATCATGTAAGCAAATGGCGATATATTTGGATTCCAAGTATAGATCAGAAGTGGGTTCAATGAGTTGAATCCACAGAGTGAGTTCCATCGATCTCATTCCCACTCCATGTATACACTTACATTGACCATTCACCCCTTCTCAACCACCCCAATGTAGGTAATATGCCATATATGGAGTGGCTGGCCATTGGGGATAGGGTTGGGTGGAACTTGGGAACTTTGTCCCTCATGCTAGTGGATGTTCTTTCTTCCGCCCGACTCAGGCACCTCTGGTCTGAGCATATTTGTATAGAAGACACTTTGCACCAGTCGAACTAACTGAGATGGAAGAACCCAGGATGTACGTGGATTACTTGCCCACACTTCTTTTTTGCGGGGAAATGGAGAACAACCGATCTCTTTCCAGGGATCTCCAATGGGGAATTCAGTTCTGAGATCAGGACGGACCCAAACTTAGACACTCGAATGTGCGGAACATATGCCTACATTGACCCCCCTCAAACCACCTTTAATACGTCCCTAGGCCTCCAGTCGTACCTTCTCAGAAGGTGTTTGGGGTGGGTTTGGCAGGTCCAGTCATACCTTCTGAGGAGGTACGACTGGAGGTGTACTATGCCAGTCCTCTGGCCTCTCGATGTGTTTTCTTCAGCGCTGCTTTTCAGCAAAAATGGGCCAACCCCGGCGCTCGCGGTGCGCAGGATGGCCTGGAGGAAACACAGCAGCCACTCTGCGCCGGCCACGGTACTCGATGCAAAGGTGGGCACGGTGCACCGCGGCGCACCGGGCACCGGGTCGAATGACTCGGTGTCAGTCCGAAATCGCTGCCTTCTATGCTATAACCATATAAAACCATGGTTGTGTGTTTTTTTCTCAGGGGAGTGTAGTTGGACCCTCCAGTTCGTACCCTAGAAAATAGAGTATGACCTAAAGCAAAAGCCGGTATACGACTTTTTTGGAGGTACGAGTTCCGGGTCGACTTCAGGTAGTTGGATTCGTGCCTTGCCTTTGCAAGAGGTGGTCAAATGCCTTTCGATTTTTGGGTCGTGGACAGAGGGTTTTCGGGAGCGTGTGAAGCAAAAAGGATCAACAGCGAAGTGCCATCCGTGGCGGCCCTAGAAGTATAGAGGTGATGAGCTTATTTATAGCTGTCCTGCTTGAATTTGATTGGTGGATTGCAATTAGGGTCTGAAGGATGTTGTACCTGTTTTGAACACAGTTGTGCTTTTTTTCAGGTCTCCGTGGTCTGACCCCAGCCCGGTTTGCCGCCAGGATGGGCAAGTGCCAGAGCAGGGTGAACCAGACGAGGAGCGTCCTCGAACACCGATGTTGGGGGGAGCTTCTGAGCTTGCGCCGATGTTCAGTGGAGAAGTTGGCGGGGTCAGTGGCTTTTGTTTTTGAAGATCCCGTCTGACCGGTGCATAGTAAGCCCGCAATAGAAATTCCTTATATCCTTATAGCTCTTATTCCTTTCTAAGCGACTTATCCTCCGTTTCAGGCTTTCCGGGTGACACTGCCACACCCCGCGCCAGGAAGATCCTTACGCCGAGTTGCCCATGTGACACACTCAGCGGCCGAATCACATGGGGCAGTGGAACACCTCCAAACCCCCTTTGAGGAAAGGTCGACCTCCCAACCTCCTCCGTCTCTTCTTCTATGATTCCCTTCACCCACGGGTTTCTCAACGCACAGCGGTTTCGGCGCGAACCGGGAGAGACCCCGTTTAGGTGCGGAAGAACTGGAGACCTGTTTGCTTCGCTCTTGCCCGGGCCGGTCGGGGGGGAGGGCGGCCGGCTTGGAGGGGGGTCGGGACACTAAGGACTTCCTGGAGAACGTTTGATTCCTTCGAAGGAGACCACGTCCAGGCGTGGTGGGAAGCCTACCCAGGAAGTGTGTGGATCATCTGCCCAACCTCTGGGTTCCAACCATGAGAAACCTCAGCAGAAAAGCAAAACGATATCAATAAGATAAACTCGTTTGGTTGCATAAGCAAAACGCTATCAAATAAGTTAAACTCGTTTGGTTGCATTTGATTTGTCTTTTTTCTTTGTGTGAGGCACTACTCAGAAGTTGCGCGTTTCAATCAGGGGGGTGTCGTGTCGAAATGGTGTCCTGATTCATGGATCTCCCAAGGACCTGCCAGTGGAAGCGGAGGAGGAAGAGGAAGAGGAAGACGACGGGGAACTGGGTCCTTTGATGGACAAGGCCATTGGGTAGCTGGTAGCTGAACTTGGGGGTTTCCCCAGTCGGGACGACAGTAAGCGCAGCCTATAACTCATTGATAACTGATAACTTATGATCAATGACACCCTCATCTTCATTCATTCATACATCCTCAATGACATCACTTCTCACAGTCCAGGACCTCAATAAAAAAACCCATAGGACTTGGAAGGATGAAGGAGCGTGGTTGTAAAGCTGTGAAGTCCTTTGTAAAACAAATGATTGTTGTTTGGTTTAAAAGTAAAAAAAATATGAAATCCAATGGTTGTTCAAATCTGATAGGAGTTAGCTATATAAGCGAAATAACATTCTTCCAGGCAAGTATATACCTTCCGGCAAGCAGTTTTCTTACCTGTCAGTAAACAAATACAAGTAATTATTGTCTTTTTTGGAACAAGGCCTTTACTATATTTTACCAATCATCATCAACCACTGTTACCGGTATTAGGATAGATCCATGATATATTATGTATATAGACTTTGGGGTCAAAAAACATAGTCCCGATACCACGGGAGTCCATATTCCTTGCAACTGGAATATACCCCTGGATCTTCTAACTATGCAACATCTCCGCCCACCTCGGCTGGCTTCATCGATGACCTTCGGCCAGACATGTGGCCCAGATGGAAGCTCCAGATATGCCTGGCTTGCCTTGACCTCCAGTCTATAG